ATTATGGAAAAACCATATCGAACGGATAAAAGGGGAAAAGTATTTCAATTTACTGAGGTGTTTTAGCTACTAGATGGGGGGCAGACCCTAACATATCTTTGATGTTCTTTAGGGCGTGTATCCGGAGCACTTTGGATTTTAGTTCTATCTTTTATGGTAATTCGAGTAGCGTACAAATCAGGGGGCCCCGGTAGCCGAGTGGTTAAGGCGTCAGACTCTCGGCTAGTAGATCCCGCGGTCTTGGGTTCGATCCCCACCGTCGCCTCTGGACTTTTTCCGACGCCTAAGGGGACCGGTGGCCACAATTGAAAGAAATTGACACGGCACTCATCAATGGAAGGGGCGGGATCGGATCTCAGCGACCCTGAATTTGGTCCTAACCCCCTTCAAAAATGAGTTTCTTAGATGGAATAACGCCGGTACAACGGGGGCTCAAGTTCACATTTGTGTTGCGAGCCCTCCTCCAAAATATGGACCCAGGGATAAAGTACAATAAGCTGTAGAGCTCAACTGCAGTGCTCAGGAGGGAACTCCTGGTATCCATTGTAAAAAAAAATTTGTCTGACACCGCAATAAAGGTTTTGGGCATAGAAAATTGTGAACCCCCCTTTAAATTCGGATCGGAAAGCTTGCAACAAACTTTGTGGTAAAATTGATGGCAACAAATTTTGTAGAACAAAATAGCATTCCTGAATATAAGGGTTTTGACTAAAACATTCTGGGTAAAGAAACCCCCCCTTAATACAAGCGTACCTTGAGAAAACTGTTAACCTTAACTTTTCCCTGTATAAGATTAATATCTGGCCAAGTTTTCTATCGGAATATGAGGTTCACTACACCAAATTGATCGTTGCATCACTTAGGGATTATTTCGAAATTCCTCTGGTGGCGGTGAATTCGGTCTTTCTCAGTGCCATCTATGCTATATGACCTTCAAACCCCTATTTTATTTTTACTGATGGTTCATTCAGCTGAACTTTTTGCAATTTTTAAAGGAGTAGAATATGTAGGCGTTAATGAAGTCAATGGTGAGAACATACTAATTTTGTCAGATTCAACGAGTGCTTTACAAACCTTAAGGAACCTTAACTTAAAATCTGATATAAATCATTTCGTAATAAGTGTAGCCCGAAATGTATGGGAAATTAAACAAACGAAAAACATTGACATCCCCTTTCTTTGGGTTCGAGACCATTCAGGCATAGATGGTAATTCAGCGGTTGATAGTCTGGCGAAACGAGTCATCACTGAAGGAACGGAGACATTGACTCTTACACCCTTACAGGATACAAGAAGTTAATCAGATCCCAAATGATAGAAAAATGGCGTATATATAACACTGGCGGGGGCTTTCTTAACTTCCATTAATCCCAATATAAACGAGAAGCCCTGGTTTCACAACTTCAAATGGTTAAAGAGGGATTGTACTATTACTATTAGGTTATGATCAAATCATGGGATCTGTGGAGTAGGGACAAATTATGTGAAACATGTAAGATAACTGAACACATCATTATGATGTGTAAAAGATATTACAAAGAAAGGAGTTTGCTGTTTGATAGCTTGTATTTAATGACAGAAGTAGATAAACCGTTAAACTATAGATCGTTGTTACAAATGAAAGATGAAAAGGTTTACATGTATACAGTGAATTTTGTGCAACTATGCAATCTACTTATATGACAAGATCGATAAACGGCCTTCACTAAAATTGTAAATTTAGAGATACGTTGGGAGGGAGTATTGGGTGAGGTCTTTGGTGGGGCGGGGGTGGAGGGGGACTCTCTGAGCATGTATAGCTCCAGTGGTCTAGGAGACGTGAACTTTTCCATAGATATTTCGATGTAAATGGTTTCTATCCACGTCTCCGTAGAGACCACCGTACTTATACTAATTGCATAAATTGAATTTATTTAAGAAAGGATCAGCCCGCTTTTTCCGCCGGTTCGTTCTTTGCTGCCGTGTCGGCTCCGCCCGGTCCTTTCTTGACAGTCCTACTTATGACCAATACTGAAATAGTAAGACCAAAACAATTTAATTATTTTGTGGTCGATTAGCCACCTCGTCCCCACGTTACCCAAGGCTCACAGACTTGCTGCTTGAGTTGAAATGCCATGGATTAGGGAAGATTTAAAATACAGGACCCAAAAATTTCTTTCTCAAAAAGTCTTCAGCGAAAACTCCATATGTGCTTCAATTGGCACATATGATTGTCTAACATCTTGGAAGCACAAAAGAATAAGACATATTTTATCCTCCTGAATCTTCTCGCTGTTTTGCCTTGTTTTGTCTAAAATTCTTATTCATCAACCTTCTCACTTATTAAACTTATTAAATTATCTTTTTCTTTGCTGACATATGTTATAAGTGTTAGTTATTGATAAAATTAATAAGTAGTTTTCCCAGTTTCTGAACAATACCGTAATGATTTTGTTAATGCAAAGGGTTTGCTACAGTAAAGGTAAATGGGTTTTTCGTGAACATTTTCCCATCAACATCGCAATAATGTTTTTCAGGAGGTATGGTATACAAATGGAGATATGCTAAAGAGAACGCATAGGGCCCCGCCACTTTCCCTCTAAAATACATATGTACGCAAATTACTTATTATATTATTACAAATACGAAAAATTTTATCGAGATGCCATCCCCATCATTAACAATCATGGAAACGCGCTCTTAGAGGCTAATATCATAAAAAAATCGACCACCTGGTTTTTGCAGAAAAAAATGGCCAACTTTGGAAATGCATATTTTCTCAGCCTTTTATGCCACCGACCTAGGACTCATTTTTGACTTTTGTTTGTTGACTTTTTAAAATATTTTCTGAATTTTCTGATGAATGACTGAAGCTAGGAAATCATTTTAAAAAAACCAACGGGTTCAAAATAAAATTTTCTAGAAAATGAGACTTGGCGCAGGTCTGTGATTTAAAAGGTTGTGAAAATATGCATTTCCGGGTTTTTGAAAGGGAGTGAAGTTTGCACGATTTTTCGACTCATTCCTAAACTTTTAAAATAGCTTTTTATGATTAATTGATCAAACGCTCTTTTATAATCCATAAATACAGCGAACATTTTGTATCTTTTTAATCCAAGATTAATGATAACGATTTTTCATTATTCATAAACCTTAAACATCGTGACTCGTTTAAATTTACTAACAAGATAAGTATTTAAAATTATTTATTTGCTACTTAAAAGTTTTTGACGTTTTTGTGGTTTTCTTCTTGAAATGGTCGATGTTATAATTTTAACAGACGGCCAAATGAATTTAGTTTATGTAGTAGAGCAAATTACGTTATACAGCTTCCTTCTCAACTTTGTAAATTAATATCATGTTTCGGTCCTTCATCAGTAGACAGTACAAGGCACTCGTCCGAGGAAAGAATCCCATGTGGCTATATACTTGCTAAATACGTAAAATTGATTTTTGAAGGTGGTAGAAGAAGTGCCCTGCTTTTAATTTATTAAGAAATGATTTCTATCCTCACACTGTTCCCTTGTGTTGTCAACTGATGAAGGTACGAAAGAAATTGTAGTAACAAATTAACTTAAAATATTGAGAAATGGGTTTTATGACTGATTTTGCCATATCGTACCGACTAAATGATTCATTAAGGAAAATATTTAAAGGATTTAGTAGACTCTTTAGGTAAATAATAATAATAAGCTTTCATATTATTGATTATATATTTTTAGTAATAAATTTTCCAATCATTTGACCTATCTTATAATTTCAACAGGAAATAATGAAATGTAAACTTTTATAAATAAAAGTGATGATTTGTTTTGGTAGAATTGAAGTTCTTGTGAGCCTTCATGTCGTGATCAAGATACATTACTTACCTATGGTAATTATTGGACCTTAATAGCAGTATTAGTAGTAATAAAAAAATGGTTATATAATTTATTATGTCTTTATTTTTAAATAAAAATACCAGAGTTAGTTTATTTTCGTATTATCGTTCCTGTTTGCTGATCATGACTCATTTAAACGTACTGACACAATAATCGAAAATAAACGAAATTGGCCGTTTATCTTGTTATTATCTATTGTATTCTTTCTTTGGATTGAGATTTTGTACTATTTGATGTATGTTGCACAATTTGCCTTTTCTCGTTTTACCAAGGCGGTACAGAAAAAGTAAGAATGTCGGCAGCAACTTTCAAGGTGTTCGGAGACGTGAACGGAATAATGCGTTTTGCAAATTTATTCAAATCCACGGTTTTTCGGGCTTTACTGAGGAACGAATGTGTGTGTATTAAACATCGCTAAAAAATCCAGGGGGAAAAAATAAAAGGTAAATTATTTGGAATTTGAAAGTTTTACTTTTGATTGAAACATGACATATTTAGTTTATATAATATAAGTAACGTAAACATAATTATTAACACGTATAACTTTCATTTCATCCTAAACTATCCTTAAATTAAAAAATTAATAGGGTAGAATTTTTATGAAATTCCGTTTCTTAAATGTTATAAAAAAATTCTTTTTTTAATATAAATTTGCTTGAAGTGGGTCTCTTGTAATCTTTCATCATAGTAGCAATATGCGTGATAATATTTTTTGAACGTTTCCTAAATGAATCTTATTCATTTTATAAATTGTTAAATGCTATTTTATTCAAATATGTTTCGCATATGGGACAACAGATTTAATTAGAGAAAAAGTGTGCATTCTTTAGACGTAAAACACGAACCTTCCAAATAGAGAAACATCAACTTTTTCATGAAGTCCGTGAATACGAAATGAACTTTAACCGAAGAATATAAACGACAAGATATAAATGCTAAATGAAAACATAAGAGACTCTGAGGTAACACATATTTTTAAGGTACGAGTTATAGCAAATCTAGGAAGGAATATATTTAAAACGAGAAAATTAGTATGTATTAAATGGTCTACAGGCAAAACATTCCACCCAATTGATTTTTTTCATTTTCAAGATAAAAGAAAATTCTGGCCTTATATATATATATTTTATTTCCAATCAGGTTTGCGGGTATTGCCATCGGGGTTCCCTCAAAACCTCTGCGAAAAGCTGTTAGACGTTTTTGAGAAACTGGGTCCTACCAAGGAAGGCCGGGTTTTGAAACCCTAGGGTAACAGAGCCACATGACTGAGAATTTTGTGAAACTGGCACCTTACTGTTGTTCAAGCGGTTCATCAACTCCAGGAAGTTCAAGGTGTCCAAATTTCTGAACGCACGGCTCAAGAAATCAGTATGGACTGATGGCCTCTCGCGTCCTAAGAGGACCAGAATTGACCAAAACAGACGACGCCCATTTGCTCGAGAACACAACCATTTGTCTTTGGACGATTGGCCTGCTGTAATTTTTACAGATGAGTGTAAATTTGTTCTACGATCTCCAGATGGGCGTGAAAGAGTGGAAAGAAGACGAAATGAAGCGTACGAAGCGTGTAATTTTTCCCAGAACCAACCTTTTCAACGTAGCTCAGTGATGGTGTGGGCGAGAATTTCAATGGAGAGTCGCACAGAGTTGGTTGTTGTTCGTGGAGGGTCTTTTACCGCCACTCGCTATGTGGATGAAATTTTGGAACAACATGCGTTGCCTATCTTCGTTGATCAGCGACAATCCTATTCTAAAGCACAGTAATGCCCGTCCACATGTCCTCATGTCTTACCTTCACCAGCTTAACATCAGGGTCTTAGCTAGTTGGGTTCTCCAGTCTTGAACCCCACCGAAGATTTATGGAATAACCTCAAAAGACGAATAAGAGCATGTCCATCAATTTCTGATACGCCCACGACCTTGGAAGTACTCTTCGTGAAGAATGGGCTAACCTCCAGCAAAAAGACATTTCCAGATTGGCAAAAAGAATGCCGAGGCGTCTTCGAGATGTAATGAAAACAAGAGGAGGAAATTCGCGATGTTGAAATGTTAATTAAAAATCTGAAACAAAATTTTAAAAAAAATTTATCTGTCCGTTTTTTCATATTCCTTAGCTATTTAAATTTTGGACAAAGACACAATTATTGAACACAGACAAGTGAAACTTTGATTAATTTATAAAAATGTATACAAATCAAGTTATATTACAAGTGGGTGGAATTTTTTGCCTGTCAGTGTATATTGCGTTATGTATTAGAAAAGCTGGGTGCAATCCTTATTTTCCTTTTAATATAATGTAAGTTATATAAGCATAAATAAGTAATGACACTCTTTTCAGTTTTTCATGCGTAAATTATGGTAAGCTTAATTGTTGACTGTGACTTTTTGCTTGAAAGTTATTTCAAAGTATAAAACGGACTTGCAACATTCCAAACGAGAGAGATTCGAGCAGATGTAAAATTAAACGGACTATTTATAGCCGGGCTCCATCCAGAGAAGAGTGACTTTCTTAATCGTCCAATACAACAATCCCGTTCCGTAGGTTAGCGTTTGGTTTCTAAGTAAATGAACTATTAACTATAACTAGTCTTATCCGTTGTATTCCTGTTTTGACGACTTTGCAAGCGTTGAACGTGCACGGTTTTTTGCTGTTGTATTTACTTAATCTTCTCATACTTCTACTGAATTTGGAAAGAAGACTGTCTTGTGTGCAGTGATGTACTCAGTGGTACAAATATTAACTGTTTGTTTGGTCTAAACTGTACGTCATGTTAAATTCTCATGGATTTTAACGTTTTTTCTATGTGTTATTTGTGAGTTGCTAAAGTGTTTAGCCAACCATGTTAGAAAATATCTATAAATTAACATTAACCAATATCTGATTAAATTATTTTCAAAGATTTATGGTGCAATTATATTTTTCTTTTTAGTCATTTTTTAGGGTGTACGTATTTGAAGAAGAGTAATTATTTATCTTAGACGCTTCGGCATAATTTCTACCAGCATGGAAATATCTCTTTGCTGCAGGTTAGCTCAAGAAGAAAATATTTTAATCTTTATGACTTACGAAAAAATAAGTGGGTATGCCTCTTGCCCTTGAAAGTGATCTGATTGTTTTCTAAGCATTTCTTATCAACAGATACTAGAAATCGAAAACGCTTGCACAATTTTCTATCTGGAGAGGCCAGAAGTTTTGTATATTCGAAAACTTTGCATAACGTATTTCAACGAGTATTTGCTCATAGATCCGTCGTCTATGGTTGTATAACCCGTTCGTGTTTTGAAAACGGAAATTTCGAGTGGGCCGGGTCTGCGAATGAATTTCATTTTTATATCACCGATTATTTTTTTTCTTTGATTTGCAAACTTGCAAAAAAAGTTTAATAGTTTCAATCATGGCAACAATAAATAGCTCTTTTTCTCAGACTAAATGACAACAATAATTTTTTTGTATAACTGTTTATATTCAAAATATAAATATATAACGAGCAGGATTCCCACTACTATATCGCATATTGTTTGCAAGGAAACACGGGAGTTTAAAATTCATGATGTTGCTGCTATGTTCATTGAAAATTGCATGTAATACCTGAGTACGTGAGATTCGACTAGTACAAGAAGATACATTCGAAAACAAAAATATAATAAAATTTATAAAAGCTGTTTTGAATTTTTTAACTGACTTTGCCGAGATGGCTTTTTAGAATGTGACATATGATAGAAAATTTGTTGAAGTCGTGAGGAGCGGTCAAGAATAAAGTAGTTTAGTAAAAAAAGCTTCAACCTTTATTCGGGTAATCTTCAGAGCCTGAGTGAATTAAAAAACACATATTGATTGGAAAAAATACTATTTAAGATGTAAATATAAATTCTGAGCCAAGTATTTCATCTCAAATAAAGTGTGCTGCTGTTCTTGTAGTGTCATATTAGTTTTGTGTAAAAGAGTTGTGAAACTGAATTTGTATTCTGCTATTTTTATATGATTGTGACAGTGTGGGGGCGCAGTAAATCTGGAAAATTTTCTTTGATCATAGGCAATTATATTTATCTCAAACGAGGTCGAGAATGAGGATTTTCTGGATTGGATTTGTGGTTCGGCATTCAATGTTGGACAGAAATTTAATTAGTAAGGACGATAACGAAGGAAAGGGGAATATAAAAATCATGTTTAATAGTTTATTTGCTTAATGATTTTGGCGTAGCTACGGCTGAGTTTGCCTTCATCTGTTCTGTAATTAATGCTCTGTGTGTCTTGTAATGTAAACCATTTCTAGAAAGTTGCGTTTTTATTTTTTTTCCGTATTTAGTCGAAATTAAAGTTGTGTAGTTTTTCAAAGTAGTGTGTGGCCAATGTTGTGGGATTGGTTTTTGGTGTTAATTTCCCAGATTTACCGCGTCCCCCATTTTGTCACAATCATATAAAAATAGTAGAATACAAATTCACACTTTCACACAAAACCAATATGACACCTCAAGAATAGCACCTTTAGGCATTGACACGGCGCTCATCACTGTAAGGTAAAGGTCCCGCGTTCGAATCCAGCGACCCTGCATTCGAACCCGACTTACTTAAAATTGGGCTTTTTTTTTCAAAAACACCGGCACTCCGAGGGTTGATATAACCTCTGCTGTTGCGAACCCTCGGAAAAAATAGCATCACACTTTTCCCCTGAAGATGACCCGAATAAAGGTCGAAAAGACGGCAAAAAAATGAAAAAGCTTTTATTCTAAACTACTTTATCCTGACCGCTCCTCACGACTTCAACAAATTATGAAAGAACAGACCAATAAGAAACACACATACTGTTACGGCCGTAAGCTTTCGGGCCGAGCCGCGGTGATCGGCATGTTGACAACAACGGAATTAACTCGCCGATAACAGGATTGTTGACATGACTCGGAGTTTTACTTTTACTTACACTCGAGCCTTGGTCGGACCTACTGCTTGACCTGTTGCTGCCCGCATCTGCTTTTGCTGCTGAACGCCTGACTTACATTTCGCCGGCTAAATAGCGGTACCCCTGAACACGCAAGTCGTTTGTTTGTTTTTTCTTTGTTTTTTTGTAAATTTTTCTTTAAATTTTTTTATTTCATTTTATTTTGTATTTGACAAGTCTATCTTTTTTTGTTGTAGTTTGTGCGAGTAAGCCATTTAATTTTGTCATTTACTTCTACAAGTATTTTTGTGAAATAAAAGCAGAAACTTATCCAGCATTCTCTTTTATTTTCCCTTTGTTCGAACCGCGGGGTAAAGATATACCTCGACCCTAACTTGAGGTCGCCGAAGCCCCAACACATACGATACAAATTGTATTTATTATTTATTTTTAATTGATAATGTAATCGTTTCGATACAAAACCTGTACTTTTTTGGGTTGAGTTGGGCTTTGGCCTATGGTATCATCACAAATATAACTATAGTTACTTGAGCTCAATATAAATTTATAGCTTACAACTGCAACACAATTTCAAGCTGGGGCACAGCAAGATTAACCTTGCTTAGATTATGATAAAAGAATCGACATTCTCAAGAAAAAACATTAAAAAATACTAAAGTAACAAGACATTTATTTGCCCTTTGAAGAAATATCACCCAGTTTGACGAGATTATGAGAGATTTTGTTCAATCTGTCAATTCGGATATAACTAAAAGGAGGCAAACAAAGAGAAAGTGGCATAAAGTATAAGAAAAACATCTGAGACAAAACTGATCAAGATACGGTTTTATTTTAGTTTTATTTATATGGAAGGATTTATCCTTCAAATGTATTTCATTATAACAATAAATTTTTCATTTGATAAAGACTGTCTAAAAGTAAAAAGCAAATATTTATATTACTCAGTTTATATATAAAAACAATTTATAGATACTATAGTTATAAAAAGTTTAATATATTGGTACGGCATTGCGCAAGCAGAAAGAAAAACTTTGCAGGTCAGTTGGCGATAAAATTAGTGTAGCTCAGACCAGAAGATAATTATGGAAATAAGGAAGGTGTACAGTACTAAAGGCTTGACGAAAATAAAAATGTATTTAACCATGTATTAGAACTAATATATTTTGTTTGTTTGTTAGAACCCTTAATTGAAGATTTCCAACTGATGCTGCCTTTAAGGCAGAGGATGCCACCTGCTTTCTTGTAAAAATTGCAGGGGTATCCCCTTTATAAATACAATATTTGTAAGAGTTACCTTGCTGCACCTAAGATTGTCTACACGAACAGATTAGACAGAAATACGAAAAGGGCATTATCAGGCAGATTTTAGAAAGCACGATCGGCTTTGAATCATGTGTCTGCACTAGCCAGCATCAACACCTTCAAAAA